CTTTTCAAAGGGACTGCTTCCAACTTTTACATCACTAACTTCCCAGAACAGGTCAAAGAGGCAGACATCTGGAAGATCCTCATTAGGATTGGAAAAGCAGTTGATGTTTACATTGCTAAGAAACGCAACAAGCAAGGCAGCAGATTCGGTTTTGCAAGGTTCTTAGGAGTTTCAGACTCTAGAGGGTTCGAAGGCAAGCTCAATAACACGTGGATTGGAGGTCAGAAACTTGTTGCCAATCTTGCAAGATTCGGAAGGGAAGTCCCACCTCGRAAAGTAGAAGATGCGAAGTCTCACGGTGGGGCCAACCGACCAATTAAAGCACTGAAATCTTTTGCAGATGTGGTTAGGGGCTCGCCTCTCGTCGATGATTATACTCCCCTATCGTTCAATTCTTCCCCTGAGTCCAGGCGATGGCTGAGTCGATCTTTGGTGGGTAAGGTCGCTTCCTCCTCTTTACTCTGGGGTATTGATGGCCTTTTGAAAGACGGAGGCTGTGTCGGATATAGGATCAAGTACTTAGGGGGTCTGCATGTCCTGATGGAATTTGAGTCCCCGGAAGGTGCCACTTCTTTTCTTTGTAATGCGAAAGACTCGTGGAGCTGTTGGTTTGAATCGTTGGTTTCTTGGTTTGAGGGTTTTGTTGTTCCAAATCGACTTGCAAACATCGTTATCTCAGGGGTGCCCCCGCATGCCTGGTCGTCAGACGTCTTTTCCTGCATTGCAAAACTCTGGGGACAGGTGATCATACCGGAGGAATGCAACGATTTTAATCTGAACTTGGCCTTCGGGAGAGTAGGGATCCTTACGACGCGCTCGGATAGGATCCGTGATTCTCTCTTCGTGATKATAGACAACAGAGAGTATCGCATCAACATCTCAGAGGATATTTCGGACTCGATCAAGCTTGCCCCGGATTTCTGTGATCATTTCAAACTGATATCTGATTCCTTCTCGAAATCAGATCTTCCTGATATTTCGGTGAACCCTCTTATAGACAATGATACTATTCTTGACATCCAGTCTAATCTCCGGTCGCCGGGGAACTTTGTTGGATGCCAGGATCCTGGTGAAGATAAGGAATTCGAAGAAGCAAGAGAGGGAGAAGGTCAGTCGAAAAGTCTTCCTTTTTTAAAAGATAATCTTTTTCCCATTCACTTGGATCACTCTTCTGCTGGGAATTCCTCTCCCACGTGCGCCCCCCTTCTTTCTTTGGTTGATAAGGCTCAGGATCATGATATGGTCCACGTCCCTTTCTCTGGCGAGCCCATCATGGATCTCTCCCACGAGCCCAATTACTCTAGCTTGGGCCACCACTCATTTCATAACCCTAGTCATAGACATGCTTCTAAAAAGCGAATCTTATCCTCAAGACCCTTTTTTCCGCTGAAGCCTACATCTGTGTTCTCTCAGGCTTTGTCTAAGAAATCCAAGGTATCTTTTCCTCCCTGTGTTCTGATTGTTCAAGCAGATAAGAGGGCCTCTTACTCTAATTATGCTAATTTGGAGCAACCCCCGCTGGATGCGCCGGTGTCGGCCTGCAATAGCAGTGATGCTCACAGCAGTGAGTCGTTGGATGGGCTAGCGACGGAGATCCGAGACACCATGGAAATTGGTAGTTTGGTTGGTTTCTGTATGAATGGTTGTGAAGCGGAACTCAGAAAGGTAATTTCTTCCACAAGGGATGTGCAAGTTAATCAATGATCATCCTTTCCTTGAATTCTAGGGGGGTTGCTTCGGAGGCTAAGAGGAGTTGGATCAGCAACTTGAGGGCTGGCAATAAAGTTAATTTTCTGGCTCTTCAGGAATCGCATATTAAGGATGATGTGGACTTGAGTTTCATCCAATCTATCTGGGGTAAAGGCTCTATCGATTTTGTTTCGTTGAAATCAAGGGGGATGTCCGGGGGTATCTTATCTATCTGGGATACGRCTTTCTTCATTAAGGATGATTTCGCTATTCTCGATGGTTTTGTTGCTGTTTGGGGAAGATGGGTGCCTAACGATACCTCTTGTGGTTTCATTAATGTTTACGCACCGCAATCCTCGGTTTCCAAACTTCGGTTATGGTCTGCCATTGAACAATTTCTCAACGATAACTCGGATCCGCAGTGGGTCATCATGGGGGACTTTAACGAAGTTCGTTCCGTCAATGAAAGAAAAGGATCCACGTTCTCTTTTTTGGGCGCTAGCAGATTTAATGATTTTATACGGGCCTCGGGGCTTATCGAAGTTCGGAGCGGCGGGAGGAAATTTACTAGAATGAGCGCCGATGGGACGAAACACAGTAAACTGGACAAGTATCTGGTGTCTTCTAATTTCTGCTCTCATTGGCCTTTGCCAAGCGCAGTGATTCTGCCTCGTTATCTCTCGGACCACTGCCCTATTCTCTTCAGATCTGATCTGGTGGATTTTGGGCCTACCTACTTTAAATTTTTCAACTCGTGGCTTGGGCATCCTGAATTTAATCTCCTGGTCCTCGACTCGTGGAATTCCTCTCCCTCTCCCATTTACTGCTTGCCTATCAAGTACTTCATGAGTAAGCTCAAAAACCTTAAGGTTCGTTTAAAAATTTGGAAGGCAGGGGTGAACAAAGCTAAGGTGGAACAGATGAATTCCCTCAAACTGTCGCTGGATTCCCTTGATATCAAGGCGGAAAATACTCTTCTCTCACCGGAAGAGATTGCTTCGAGAAAGGACATATTGATGAAAATCAAAGCCTTGGACGAGGAGAACGTGAAGGATCTCAGGCAGAAAGCGCGTCTCAGATGGGTTGTGGACGGGGAGGAAAATTCGAGTTTTTTTCATGGGATCGTCAATTCTAACAAAAGGAGCAACTTCATTCACGGCATTTCCTCTAATGGGGTATGGGTCACGGATCCTTTTGAAATCAAACAAGTGGCCTTCAACTTCTTCTCGGAGAGGTTTCGATCCAGGTCTGTCATTCGGCCCCCTTTTTTATGCAATAACTTTAAAAAATTATCTCCGAATCAGGTGAGCTATCTCGAATCTAGCATCTCCATGGAGGAAGTCAGGAAAGCTATTTGGGACTGTGGACCTGATAAGGCCCCTGGGCCTGACGGATTCACGTTTGAGTTCCTTCGATCTCAATGGGATGTCATCAAGGATGACTTGTACCGCGCCATCAAATACTTTGAGTCTACTGCCTCTATTGATGATAGTTGCAATGCCTCATTCATCTCGCTTATTCCCAAATCTGAATCTCCGTGCTCTTTTTCGGATTACCGGCCCATCAGTCTGATAAACTGTTTTTACAAAATTGTTGCTAAGATCTTGGCGTCTCGTCTGAGCTTTGTCATCGACTCGGTCGTAGGGCATGAGCAATCTGCCTTCATCAAGGGAAGAAATATTTTAGATGGACCCATTATCGTCAGCGAGGTTATATCTTAGGCCAAAAAAGCTAACCGTAAATCCTTGATATTTAAAATTGATTTTGAAAAAGCTTTCGATACTTTGTCTTGGGACTTTCTGGAGGACGTTCTAAGGAAAATGAGTTTTGGTGTTAAATGGAGAGCGTGGATCAAAGGGTGCCTCCGTACGACATCGGTTGCGGTTCTCATTAACGGGTCCCCGACTCATGAATTCCCTCTAGGAAGGGGAGTAAGGCAAGGAGATCCCCTGGCCCCACTCCTCTTCATCCTTGCTGCCGAAGCTCTTAATATCATGATGTTGGAGGCCTCTCGAAAAGGTATTTTCAAAGGTATCAAACTTCCTAACTCCGGGCCTGAAATATCGATTTTGCAATTTGCTGATGATGTCTTGATCATGGGTGAATGGACAAGAACGAATGCCACTAATCTGATTCGGCTGCTGCGTTGCTTCCAACTATCTTCGGGGCTGAAGGTAAATATGCAGAAGAGTAATATCATGGGTGTGGGGGCTGATTACGAGGAAGTGGTATCTGTCGCTAGTAGACTTCATTGCAGACCTGGGCTTTTTCCTTTTACGTACCTTGGTCTGCCGATTGGTGGACGTTCCAACAAAGCTGAATCTTGGGCACCTTTAATTGAAAAATTTAACAAATAATTATCAGCTTGGAAATCCAAAATTCTCTCTTATGGTGGTCGGCTTGTCTTGATCAAATCCGTCTTAGGAAGTCTGGGTTTGCATTATCTCTCGCTTCTTAAGGCTCCTACCTCGATCATCAACAAACTGGAATCTATTCGCTCGAGGTTCTTTTGGGGCGATAAAGGAGGAGTGAGAAAGATTTCTTGGATCAGTTGGAGTACTACGTTGGCGGATAAAGATGCTGGCGGTTTGGGGATCAGTAGTCTTAGAGCCCTCAATCTGGCGCTTCTCGCTCGGTGGTGGTGGCGATTCAAATTGGAGCACAATCACATTTGGAGACTGGTTATCATTGCTCTCCATGGTGATGATGGCGGCATGAACAACTTGGTCAGAAATGGAAGATTTCCGGGACTCTGGAGGAACATTTTAAAAATCCACAAGGAATACAATAGCTTCAATCTTCCTTTTGCGGACTGGTTTCAAAGAGATCAAAGCTCTAACGGGATCAATATCTCTTGGCGATGGGCTCTGACTTCTCACGGTAACTTCTCGGTCTCTTCGATAAGAGCTGCGTATGATGCTAATTCGCTTCTCCAGGTTAGTTTCAGAAATTCTTGGTGGGTCACTCGGGTTCCCTCTAAAATTAATATTCTTGCTTGGCGTCTTCTTCACAAAAGGCTTCCGACTAAAATTAATCTTGCTAAAAGAGGTGTGGTTTGTCTCTCCTCCCTATGCCCTCTGTGCGATTGTGTGGAAGAAGACGAGGAACATCTTTTCATAGGATGCTCGATATCTCGGCAATTGCTTAAGGATTTGTGCAAATGGTGGAAAGTGGACATTGGACAGGTGAATTCTATTGATAATCTTCTTGACCGTAGCGCGGAGGTGGCTGGGAATTTTTCGTGTAAGAAGGCGTTTATTGGAGTGATGTATGGATTCTTCTGGATTATTTGGAACTTGCGCAACCGCAAAACTTTCTCTGTTCCTTCTCAGACGACGGCTACTTTTTTTGCGGGCCAGCTTCAGGCGTATTCTTTTTTCTGGTTTAAAAACAGGGTGCCGAAAGTTGTTATGGCGACTAGTTGGATAGAGTGGTGTAATTCTCCCATGTCTTGTTTTTAACCTGTACTCTCTTTTGCTAGCGTCTTGCTAGTTTCTATGCTATCTCGTCTTTGTTGCCGGTCAAAAAAAAAAAAAAAGAAGTATATAAATTATTTGGAAATTTTTTGATGGAGAAAAACAATGGTCTCAATCGAGAATAAACACACACACACATAGGGGTATTCAAAAACCCGATCAACCAAGCCCAACCCAACCTAACGCGAAATAACCCAACCCTTAAAATGTGATTGTCTATAGTACAAGGGTGTTCTCGCGTTCTCTTAAAATAAAGGTGTTCTCGTTTGAAACCCTTCTCCATATATATGTATATATATAGAGAGAGAGAGAGAGAGATTAATGATAAGACTATTTGTATTTTCTATAACCAAAATCTCAATGTTCATATATTTTGTATAAACATATTTCACAAAACCTCATAAAGTATGTTGTAACATTAGCAACTACCAGAGGCCTATTTACTATTAAAAGAATCGTACTTACAACCACCATAATTTCTTATTAAAATAACCCTGAAAATTACCGTAGTGGATGGTGATGTATTTTTTAAAATCTGTATCTTTATCTAAAATACAATACAAACATTTAAGGGCCGTTTACCAAACGCTTACCCAGGTAAGCCTTATCAAGTCACACTACCTCACCGGATAAAGATGGTAAGGACCAAGAATCTTACCCGATAAAAACGAGACAAAAACGAAGAGTCTTACCCGGTAAGTGAGGACGACGACTCTTACTACGGTAAGCGCTTACCAGGTAAATTGTTACAGTTTTGGTGGACTAAAATCTTACCCAGTAAGCAAATAATAGTGTTAATTTTACCTGTAATCCCTTACTGAGTAAATGCTTGGTAAACAGCCCTTAGATAAATATATGTTGTGTAAAAAAGGAAATTGAATCAAAGTTTTATTTTCATGCATTATTAAATGTAAAATAAATACTTAAGTATTTAAGATGTCAAATATGATATATTAAAATAATTATTTTAAAAATACATCATTGTCTCGTACAAACTTCATAATATAGCATATAATTTAGCACGATAATAGGTTCTATTGTAAACTTTTTGTTTAATAATTTGTAGTTTTGTTAATTTAGCATTTCAAATATATAATATTTAAAAAGAATCCGTGGATTATTAAAATAAAAAAGAATTATATTATGATTAAATGTAAATTCAAAGTTGAAACAGGAAACACAAGCTTTTATGGTCAGCTGCAATGAGTAATCACAATGGCCCATGTGAATGTGATGCTCTCCATGAATCATTATTATTAACACCAATCTTAAGAAAAGGAAGAAAAAGCCTTTACAACTACTCAAGCTTGGATGCTTTTTTTCAGTATATGATGAAAATACATTTTCCATTTATATATAAACACATATGTGTGTCTTATGTTTGACGAAATGCTTTTTCTACACTGAATAGACATTGATGATGAAATTTCTCTCTATATAAGGAAACATATATATATTTATATATGTATGCGAAACATTATATAAGAAGAAAAATTAATGTGAGAAGTATAAAAAAAATCTAGACCATTGATCGTCTTTAATCTTAAAACCTCTTATGAATTGTGTTTGATATGAGATTGATTTGGTGTATCTCGATTCATCTCATCATAATGTGTATCCAAAAGTGGAGATCCCTTACTACGCTTCTTATCTTAACTCTCATTCTCATCGGAACCCAGCCATATATATATATACACACATTAGTTTCGAACCCGTGTATTACACATGGTATTTTACATGAATTAAATGAAAGCAATATGCATTTTATAAAGAAGTAATAATAATATAAGTAAATATTAAGAACTTGTAAAACAAAATTTATAAGAAAACGCAAAAGAAATTAGGCAAAGGTAAGTAGTTAAAATGTTAATAGAATAACAACCACGTATAATAGATTACTAAATACTTCTTTATATACAACATTCTTTGTTCTATTGCCAATAATATCATCATCATCTATAATTAATACTTTCAAACTTTTCCTGCTTTTAACTCTAGATAAAGCAACATATAACTAACCATGAGTGAAGACCGGTTGTCTTAGAAATAAACCAACTTTCGATAATGACTATCATTGGCTTTTATTTATGGTCATGGTAAAACATACAACAACTGGAAATTGTCTCCTTCGAAATTTGAATGAAATCTTTGTCTGTAGGTGTCAAAGACATTCTTGGAATAAATGTCCGACTTCCAATATTGCTTCTAGATATAATCTCTGCTTCTATAACCTAGTTTCCCAATGATAACACCCTTAGTCTAGTTCCATTACATAATCCAGATTTTTGATAAATATTCCTCAGTAACATGATTAGAACACCGACTTTTAGTAATATCTTATGGTTTGGTATACCTGATAATTTAAGACCATTTAAGAGACATCAGGAGAGTACAAAGTTTTCTCAAACTGGTAGTGAAGTTGCTCTGATTCACATAGGCTATCTGAACTTAAGTACTCTTTTTTGTCTCCTAGGAATAATGATATCAAACAGTCATTTATTTCTTGAACGACTTCATGTTTTGGTGCAAGTATTGCCCTTTTCTAAAAATAAGATGAATTCTTGATGTTTTCAAGAATTGAATGATAGACAAATTGCATTAATGCAGATATAGAATCCATTGAATCCGTAATGAGAAGATCATCAGGTATATCAATAAATGCCTCGCCATCATTATCACTACCAACCTTGCCTTCTCCTAAGTCCAAAATCCAGTTTGCAAAAACCGTTGTCAGTTTAATTTCAGAAGATTGACTGTCAACAGTTAACCCCATGTTCTTAATCAACCTTAGGACTTTGTATTTTTCCCAAATGTAAGATGAACTTAACGACGCATTAACAATGTCTTGTCTACTTGCGTTGGGAATAACCAGTAGAATTTGTCTGAAATCTCCTCCAAAAACAACTACCTTGCCACCAAATAGCATTTGTGAGTCACTAATGCGTCGACTATTGAAAATATCGTTCATACTTCTGTCCAATGCTTCAAATACATGCTTATGAACCATTGGTGCCTCATCCCATATAATCAAAGTAGTCTTTTTTATTAACTTCGCAACATCACTGTTTGGTTTTATGTGACAAAGAGAATCTTCATTAATAATTAGAGGGGTTTTGAAAGCGAGAGTATGCTGTCCTATCACCGATAAGAAGTAAAGAAGCAATACCACTAGAAGCGACGTTTAAAATAATTTCTACTTTAGATCTTATTCATACAGCTAATGTCTTCCATAGAAATGTTTTATCTGTTCCGCCATGCCCATAAACAAAAAACACACCACCTTTTGTTGTTTTCAACAGCTGTCATGATTTCATCATAAACACCTCTTTGCTCATTTGTTAGAGTAGTTACAAGCTTCTGAAACTCATCACGTAAATTATCTTTGTTATAATCTAGCTCCTCCGTAATCAAACGATTGTTTGAAGATTCAAGACAATCATTATCAGGGTAAGGCAGAGTGGTGAATTTTCTTAGGGTGGAATTGTTATGAAGTAAAATCTTTTCAATTTCAAACAATGTCAGGTTCTTCACTTGTTCTTCATTGAGAGATAAATCTGTAAAAAATATAATGTAAATATAAACAATCATTATATAAAATTAAAACTAAAATACAATTTAAGAAAGAACATAATAGTTAACAAATACAAAAATAATAAATTATTTAGTATTTAAAAAATAGCTGTATAAATCTATACTTATAATATATAATTAACATACCTGGAGACTTTAATGCAATTTATTGATTGTAAAGAATGCCATCTGTTAAGTATTGCTATGTTTTTTGCCAAACAAACTCAGGTCTAGATAGACTGTTTGAAATCAGCATGGTTGCAAATAAGAAGCGTAGATAAAAACCAGATGCTGTTAAATTTGCTTCTTCAATGACATCAATATATTCCTTGTCATCATCTAAAAGCCCAATAGCATAACATGCATCTCTAAAAGTAGGAAATATATTTTCATTTATTGTACGAATGTCTTCGAATGATTTAGGACCTTTCACTTTATTCAAAAAAATTCTTAAATAATATGCTTTTCCTAGAGTAGGAGAAACTGAATGAATCCGTCCAATTAAGAAGCCTTTATTCTTCAATCCCATTGTCACTCTTCAAGTTTCCACACAAACTTTGTATGGAATTCAACTTAAGTGAGTTCTCGTGCTTCTTGATAAATTTCATTACAATTCATCTAAGCTAAAAACATTGAAGACGCCATAGATGGTTTGTTTATGACATTTTCAATATCATCTTCAATACCAAATACCACTTGTTGTTGTCCAGGAAGATGAGAAGGAAGTCTCAAAACAGAAGGAGTCTTGTAATGAACATCATAGCCAAAAATACGCCATGAAGCTTCACATGCAGATACATAACTACAATCATAATATTCCTTTATCTCATTAACAACATTAATAGTAACCTCATCATTACTGTTTTCTACAACAACAATAGTAGCTCTATCCGGACCTTTGTTGATATATTTGAACAAATATTTGATTGAAGAAGCCTGATTGCACCACTCAACATTAATGTGTGCTTGATATCTTTTCAAGAGATGTTTGTTATATGGAACGACATTTCTGTTATCTAGTTTAACACCTGATTTCTCAATAAAACGCTCATCATCTCGTCTGCGATATAAAGGATAACCATTAACATAAATGGAAGTGTGTTCAGAAAATCTTTTTGGATAGTTTTTTGAACACTTTCTATCAATCATGCAGGAACAATTAATGTTCTCTTCACCACAGGGTCCATGGATCATGAACTCTTTTATAAGTAAGTACAAATCTGGATCTTTGTTTTTGTCTGGGATCTCAGCTGAGATAACAGGATGAATTTGTTTAACAGTAGGTAGCTTGAAATCAGAGTGCATAAATAGACATATATCACTATGAGGCAACTCATGCTTTTGAAATTCAATTGTATAAACAACTACAAAAAAGTCAAAATTTAAATTAACAAAGATAAAATCGAAGTATGAAA